ACCTTACCTTAGGCTTACCGTGTATAACCTATCTTTTAAAAAAGAACCATTAAAATCGGTTCATTATTCGTTTCGACGAATACGGCACGAATGTTTGTACTCCAGTCATGGTATTTATATTTATAATATGTATGTATTTAAAGTTATATATGTGTAGTGTATCAACTATCTGGTATCCATAACACAAGCCTCGTAGCTTACCATGGAACTAGATGGTATGTGTATGTATGTACCAACATATTTATCATTTATATATTTAATTTATAATAATAATAAAAAAACCGTTCAATATATTTCTTCTCTATTTGTTAACCGATTTTCTTTTTTTTTGCTTAGCAGCTATTGACAAGCTTTAGTACTATCAAGTATCAATGCAAAAAAATATTATTTTCGAACACCAGTTTGTTCAAATATACTAAATAACTCCTAGTTTGCTTTTCATCGTCCAAGCGTCAGTAAAACTGACTAAACCGGAATGAGCGACCTTCGCGACTCGTCTTCATAGATTTTTATTTGACTGATGTATTTTTAGATTCTTTTTTAGTTTATCCTCTTTGCTGTCACTATGTTTATAATTCCAAACTAAAATTGTTACGATATATATGAAACTAGCATTGCCCGCGGCTCCGCCCGCGTTCAGATGAACAAAAACCAAATTCTTAGGTTTTACATAGTAGTATTAATAGTTTTACATTACAGTTTTTGTATTTTTTCTCAGAAATGAGATATTTTCCCGCGGTTAAAAGTATCCTATATGTTGACCAGGATAACCAGCTATCGCCATACCAAATTTCATTAAAATCCCTCCAGTGGTTTTTCTGTGATGCGGTAACAGACAGACAGACAGACAAAAATTCTAAAAACTATTGATTCGGTTTCTGTATCGAAAATAATGTCTATTTCAATAAGATTTTCCAAAAAATATTTAATGTACAGATTCGGCTTGGTTACAATTTTATTATATATATAGATTTCTGCTATTATAACTATTAAGAAATAAAATTAATATATTTCAATGCTATTACAATATTTAAAAGAGCAATTGTTGAGTTTCTGTTTGATTCTTCCCCGCAAACTGTCTACAAACCAAACTCGTCCAAACCAATCGAGAGAGTAAGATAGAATACATTGCCACGTTGTCATGGTAACCGTTGTTATTGTCTGACAAATATATAATATTATATTCTTTCCGTATATGATATTCTATAAGTATATGATTGTAATATGCCTAATATACCTTATTTATTGATTTGTTTTAATTTAATTGCGATATTTGCCAAAGAAGTTTTACTTCAACCGCGCGTAAAGGTTACACGCACCCCTTCGATCAACAGTTTGTTAATCGAAGACGCACCCAGTTTTCTAAGCATAGTTTTTGTTTTGATATCGTCTAAATAAGTGTAATATGAAACAACAGAAAATATTAATAAATATTTTTATTTATTACTCGCGACCTACCCTCGCTTTGCTCACTTTTTTGTGTTTTACTTTTTTGTGCGGAACTTCTAATTTTAAAAATAAAATAAAACTAGCTTTTGTTATTCCTTATAAAATCAGCAATCTGCCACTGAAACTCCCGTCAAAATCGGTCCAGCCGGTTTGGAGATTAGTCGGAACAAACAGACAGACAGACAAACAATTCAAAAGTTGCATTTTTCTTATAAGTGCCGTATATAATTTAATAAAAAGCTGTAATTTTGACATTACAAACAGACACTTGAATTTTTATTTATCTATATAGATAACTAGCGTTGCCCGCGACTCCGTCCGCGTTTTTCATATTAGTATACTCTTACAATGCAGTTTTTATATTTTTTTCTCAGAAATGAGACATTTTCTCGCGGTAAAAAGTATATGTTGAACCGGATAACCAGCTATCACTATACCAAATTTCATTAAAATCCCTCCAGTGGTTTTTCTGTGATGTGGTAACAGACAGACAGACAGACAGACAGACAAAAATTCTAAAAACTATATATTCGGCCTCTGTATCGATAATAATGTTTATTTCAATAAGGTTTTCCAAAAAATATTTAATGTACAGATTCGGCTTAGTTACAATTTTATTATATGTATCGATTTTATTGTAGGCCGGACGGGATCATATATAGCCTACGCCCGTCCCCAGGATACAATCTAAATACGTCCCTGGCAAACATCGAAATCTATTGAGCGGTTTAAGCATGAACATGTAATAGAATAAGTTACTTTGAGTCAAAAAATATTGCTTTATAAAACTATCTTTTCGGATTATTTAACAAAATTTTGTTAATTGTGGGTAGGCTGTCTGTAACAACTATATCTTTAAGACATGTAACACCTCAGTCTCTCCCGTGACTATGGATGCTGTAAAGCATTCGAAACGTCGGGAAACAAAAATCAAAATAAATCCGCGAAATAATCCGAAAAGATAGTTTTATTTAATAATGTCAAACATTCGCGTAAATCTAAGAAAGTATTATTGCTTTATAATTAAATAAAGATCTCAAAATATATTTTTTTATTATATTTCACACTTCAGGATAGATAAACAATTTTAAAGTCGGAGCGACTAGTTAAGTTTTTTTTTTATAGTTAATTCTATATTATTTTGTTATTTCTAGCAAGTTTTTTTATTTAAAAACACCACAATCTCATAATTAAACATAAAAATATTATGCATTAATTTAATTAGTATAATCTATACATATGTATAAATAAAATTGAAGTGTCTGTTTGTAATGTCAAAATAACAGCTTTTTACTAAATGTACGTATATGAAATTATATAAGGTGCTTATAAGAAAAACACAATTTGACGGACTGATTTTGATGGGACTTTCACTGGTAGATAGCCGATGTTATAAGGAGTAACTTAGGCTACTTTTATTTTGGAATAAAATTAAAAAAAAACCAACTTCCAGGCACTAAAATGTAAAAAATAACTAAACGGAGGTTTTCATTTAGAATAGATACCTAATCAGATATTTTCGAAGTCGGTGCCAGCCGATGCAAAGCAAATCTATTTCGATACGTAAAATACATATTTACCTATTAGATATTCATATCTTAAAATATTGTCGGCTGGCTAAAAAAAATTCCAAATCGGTTCAGGCGTCTTCGCGTAATCGTTGAACATACATAAAAAAACCGACGAATTGAGAACCTCCTACTTTTTTTGGGAAGTCGGTTAAAAACGATTAGGATTCCGTTAAAAAAAAACGTATCTCGAGACGTATCCGAGCGAAGCGAAGTTAAATCGCTAGTATTATAATAAATAAACAAAATCATATAAACACATTCAAATATTAAAGGCCGTGATATGACCTCATGTAAATATTATTAAAATAATTTAAATTTTGGTCGAACTTGTTGTTTTTTTTCTAAAGAAGCACAAAAGATTAATATAATATTATGTATTAATAATCTTATAATTTTAAAATCCCAAGGTCAAAGTCAAATTTAAATCCAACATCAGCGTTTTTAGTAATGCTATATGTTATACTAGCGACTCACCCTCGCTCCGCTCGGGTTCGTCCCTAGTTACGATTTAACGTTCAGTATAGATTTCTCAGAGATAAGATATTTTCCCGCAGTAAAAACTATCCTATATGTTGACCCGAATAACCAATTATCATCATACCGAATTTCATCAGAATCTGTCCAAATTTTATTTATATTAGATTAACGGTTAGTATAAAATACAAATCTTTGAATTTCTCAGTTTTTCTGTACTATTAATATGCATGTATTATACATATTTACCTTCCTCTTGAATTACTCTATCTATTAAAAAAACCGCATCAAAGTCCGTTGCGTAATTTTAAAGATCTAAGCATACATAGGGACAGACAGACAGCGGAAAGCGGCTTAGTTTTATACTATAGAACATAATCTACCTGTATTGTAAAGTTCATCCAAATCTCTTCAGCCATTTCATCGTGAATACCAAACATACATACACCCAAACTTTTCAAGTAGATATGTTATTAAAACATATATATTTTACTACATTTTGCTCAAAAGGCGTTTGACATTCTCACACATGTCCATATCCGACCTTTTCAAATGACATAATACATGACCTTTCGTTTGTGTGTTAAACGTCTTACTTAATACGTTTCTTCGAATTGGTCAAGACCGAGTTTTGAATTGAATTTTCCTCAAAGTACCAAATGATATATACATATACATATATATTTGTCAACATTACATGCGAAAGGGAAAGCCCCTAATAGCTAGATAGAGCGAATATAATAATAGAAGCGATACTAATATTATAAATGTTGAAAGTTTATGAGGATGGATGAGTGTTTACTCAATCACGCCAGAACGGCTGAACGAATCTGGATGAAATTTGGCACAGAGATAGATTATAATCTGGAATAATGAAAATAAATTTTTTATCCCGGAAAAATGTCTTTTCCCGTGGGATAGATTTGTTTTTGTCTAGGGACGTACCAGAAGCGAAGCGGGGGTTAGTCGCTTGGGATACTTTCTTGGATAGAAACTAATTAAATAATTCGCATTTAAAGCTACCATGACCATTAATACCTTGGTATTACTTACTACATTCTCTTAATAGCGAATCCTCAATCGATTGTTGAAAAAACTGTTTTCGATTTTAGCTTGAGGTGTCCGGCATTACTATATTTTTAGTACCGTATTAAATAAACCCTTTCAAAGCAAGCCAAGCCAAGCATTGTGATCAGGCCATAGTCCACCACGCTGGCCAAGTGTAGGTTGGCGGACTCCATATATTTTCGAATATTTCCGGGAAAATTGAATTTCTCGGAAAGATTCGAAAATATATGTAATGGAGCGGCCGAAAACTTATATTACTTTTTAATAAAAAAATTATACTGACATCAGAACCACTTTAAAATTATTTTGTAATTATAAAAAAATATTATAAAAAAAACTATTCCCAATCGGCGAAGGTCATATTTTGTAAGAAAATATATCATAAACGTTACACAAAGAATATTCAATTAATAAGACTTTTTTTCTATATCCTTCTAGATGCACACAGTAGCTTTAATTCTCTCTGTGCTGGCCCTGGTATGGGCAGCACCCCAAGAAATGATCTCCGGAGATCTGGATTCTGTAATTGCTGAGATCTTCGGAAAGCCAAAGGAAACGACAGCATCCGTCCCTTTGACTCCAAGCAAACCTTCGACAATTGTGCCACCTATTTCTTCTAAGAGTAAGCTGTTTCTCAATCTTTTTAAAGGTTCTTCTTTACAGTGGAAGCCCATTGGATGTGCGTTGGTTTGGTTTCACACAACAATTCTTAACCCGGGCCTAGCACCTCTGAGAAATCATTTTTAAACTTGTATTCAGCCCTTTCTAACGTCCCACTGCTGGAGGTGGGCTACTCTTCAATACGATGGGGATCAGGCCATAGTCCATCGAGCTGGCCAAGTGCGGGTGGACTTCACATGTCTTTCGAAAACTTGTAGGATTTTCTCAGACATGCAGTTGTCCTCACGATGTTTTCCTTCACCGTAAGGCAAGTGGTAATCATGATAGAATTGATTCACACATGAAAACACTAGAGGTACGAGACCCGGGATTTGAACCCTTTACACTCGGTTTCCCAGGCGAGCGCGTTGCCACTGGGCAACCACAGCCTTATTTAAACGTAATTCATAATTTATAATGATGAGGAGAACATTGTGAGGAAGCCTGCATACCTGAAATCTATATAGTCTTTGAAAGACATGTGAAGTCCATCTCAACTTGCATTTCACTCGTTCTGGCTCGTGCTCGAGAGTAGTTTTAGTTAGTTTCGGTTACGTTACAAAGAGCTGTAGTATTTACCACACTATATTATTTTTTTATTCTTTCAGGTGATGTTCCCATGAGAAAATGTATGACAGACGATGGTGAAAGTGGTGAATGTGTGCATTATTATTTATGTAACTCTAACAACTCGATTATAACTGATGGAGTCGGAGTAATTGATATAAGGTAAGACTTATTCACTACAAAAATATATATAATCTGTACATTAAATATTTTTTGGAAAATCTTATTGAAATAGATATTGTTATCGATACAGAGTCTGAATCTATAGTTTTTAGAATTTTTGTCTGTCTGTCTGTCTGTCTGTTACCGCATCACGAGAAAACCACTGGACTGATTTTGATGAAATTTGGTACGATAATAGCTGGTTATCCAAGTCAATATATAGGATATTTTTTACCGCGGGAAAATATTTCATTTCTGAGAAAAAGACAAAACCTACAATGTAAGAGTATACTAATATGTAAAACCTAAGAATTTGGTTTTTGGTCATCTGAACGCGGGTGGAGCCGCGGGCAATACTAGTATTTTATAAGTTTTCTTTATTGCACATTGAAATAGATTTGTCGTGTTTTCTCCATTCTACGTGACATTTGCGAAGTAATCTGTGATACACTGGCATGCCCTGAAGCCATTCACAAGAGGATTCAATTAAATAATATATAGATTTATTATGGGCGAATATGGACCATTTGTAAAAGAACTCATGTCATACAAAAATGCGAGTTTAGCTTAGGATGGAGTTTAGTTTTTAGTATATTTTTAAATTGGCCTCAATTTGAGGTTACGTTTAGATAGATTTTAACGACACGTTTGACTCTATTGGTAAGTTGGTAGTGACCCTACTTGCTGTGCCAGTGATCGCGGATTCGAGTCCCGCTGGGGGCATTCAATTTGTGTGATGAGCACGAATATTTGCACTCCAGTCATGGGTGTTTATATTTATAATATGTATGTATTTAAAGTTATATAAGTATATGTAGTGTATCAACTATCTGGTATCCATAACACAAGCCTCGTAGCTTACCATGGAACTAGATGGTGTTGTGTGTTAATGTCCCAACATTTAAAATAATTATATTATTATAATAATACCCGATTATATTTAATGATTATAGCAAAAATCATTTCAGCCATCAAATTATTAGGTACTTCATATAGCCGAAGAATTTGTTTCTTTTGGTACTTTGAACGCGGTTGAAGCCGCGGGTAATTCTAGTATTATATATTTCAGAGTACAAGACGACAAATGTCCGTCTTACATGGACGTGTGCTGTGTTCTCCGAGATACTAGAAGTCCTACAGATCCCATCACACCTTCTCCAGACAAATTGCCTCAGGTAAAAACGACCAAGAAAATTTCAATTAAAGCAACCAAAAGTAAAGAATATTTAATAATATACAAACTTATATTTTTAAATTGCACTTCGATACCATTTTTCTATTTCTTCCAAATTATTGTATAACTAGCAGAACCCGCGGCTTCGCCCGCGCGAATTCTGAAACATATATTTAATTGTATTGAAGAGCATTAATACTAAGTTTCAAGTAATTCTGATCATAAATAATTTTCTGGGTTGTATTATAACGTGTTTTCCCGTGGGAATGAGATAATCTTCCGCGGTAAAAAGTAGCCTATGTCACTCTCCAGCCCTCCATCTATCTCCATACAAAAAATCACGCCAATCACTCCATTTGGATGTGAAAGAAAGACAAACAAACAAATAAACAAACACACTTTCACATTTACAATATTAGTATGGATTTTGTAGATACCTAGGTGCTGTCTGTAGCAACTATACAATTTCCTTTGAAACGTCTAAAACCTTAGTCTCTTTAAATCATAGATTAATTTATATCAAAAGTAGCTTACGAGAATATCGTTGATTTTCTTAGAGATATTGCCGTTATGTTTGGTTATATCCATAGTTTTGCTTTACAGAATGAAGGCTGTGGTTGGAGGAACCCCGATGGTGTAGGATTCCGCATAACTGGCGATAAGGACGGTGAATCGAAATTCGGAGAATTCCCATGGATGGTCGCCATACTTAAGTGAGTTTTTTAATATTTTTACACATCTAGGGCTTCTTGCACGTATTTAGATGGTTTGAAATTAAGTTCTTAAGTATTATCTCAGTTGGTATTCTACAATAATATTAAAAGAAATCTAGATATTGTATGTAAATAGTACTGAAATGTTCAACAACTTGTTTAGGAGTAAGTCAGCATGAATTGGTCCTTTAGCGGAAACAAAATTTTCTTCGTGTTATCGAAAATGCTTTTTATATTTTCCAAAAAATGAATAATTGAAAAATTTAACTTGTGCATTTTTCAAAAAAATAATGATAAAAAAATGAAACTACTTATTTTATGCAAAATTTCGATAATAGGGCGGCATTTTTTACTATGCCCAGGCATCGCTAAGGTTAAATCTGGTGCTGACTATAATATTAAGAAGCAGGTGCTTTTTAACAATATGTCAATCTACAATAGTTGAAAAATAGAAATTTTAAAAAATTGATCGGTTTCAATTTTTTTTTAATATTGTTAGGTAGTCCGGTATTATTTCTCTTTTATTCCAAATTTTATGGGTAATGGCTGTACAAAATAACAAATCGCCAAAAAAAGCTAAAAAAAATATTATTTTATAGTACTTTCTTAGATTTACACAAATATTTGACATTTTAAATAAAACTATCTTTTCGGATTTTGTCGCGGATTTATTTGGATATTTGTTTCCTGACGTTTCGAATGCTTTACAGCATCCATGGTCACGGGAGAGACTGAGGTGTTACATGTCTCAAAGGTATAGTTGTTACAGACAGCCTACCCACAAATAACAAAATGAAAATTTCACCAATTACCTTAATTTAAAGTAAAAAAAAATATTGTAAGGTAACAAAAATCCAAATAAATCCGCGACAAAATCCGAAAAGATAGTTTTATTTAAAATATATTTTAATTTAAACATAGCATATAAAATATTCGGATAATTCTAAACAAAGTAACGAAAGTATTGTGATGATTTTACTATATAATATATATTATATGATATATAGCCTTATAGCCTTCCTCAGTAAACGGGTTATCTAATGCAAAAAAATTTACAAATCGGATTAGTACTTCCTGAGATTAGGGCTTACAAACAAAAAAAAACAAACAAAAAAACTCTGCCACTTTATAATATTATTAGTATAGATCATGATAATTATGTTCTTCGCATATATTTTTTTAGCATTCTACGACGATTGTAAAATGACATCTTGTCTAATACCCCAGCATCCAAACTGATGGACCAAAAAATCCGTTCTCTCATTTCATATGATATCAAGATTTGATTGATTGTAATGCATGGATCACATATCGTCAGATAGCCTCTATGGTGTAAATAACTTGGTCAATGAATTATATTCGTATGTTTATAGTTTTCTATTAGAAGTATTTATTGTAGAAAGTCATCTTGAGTAAGGTTACGATTATATTTATTGCTCAAATGAATCAAGCTTTTTGGATTTTAAGCACTTTGCCAAAAATATTTTTTAGTTTTCTTTTTAAAGTAATGCACATAATATATACAATCAAGCACCTTTATTTATACAATGTCGCTTACAATAAGGTGCACGTATTTATTTTCACGAGGCATGGGTTGTATGACTAAGAAAAAACTTAAAATTAATCTAATGAACTCTGAGTTTTATAAAGTATCAAATATACTTATTATTTCTAATATTTAAAATTTGAAATATAATACTGAAACTCTACCTCTTGCATTTTCTTAAAAATGTGTTTTCTTATTCTATCTGCCAATTGCCCAAGTTAGTTGGGGTCGGTGCAGTAAATCTTCCACTCTCCTCTATTACTCGTCATCTTATCATTCACCCCTTTCTCTTTCACGAACATCTCACACAATCTATCCATCTTTTCTTCGGTCTTCCTCTCTATCTTTCCATCCATCTACATTCATTTCCATCATCCTTCACGTTTCATCCCTCCTCATCACATGTCCATACCAACTTAGACGATTTCCTTTCAACGTCTCTGTTACTGGTGCTACTTACTAAAAATGTTTTTTAATAATCAAAATTAAACAAGATATAACATTATCATATACTTAGTCACTATCTTCTAAAATATTATAAAGCATCAAATTTAAAATAACATCCTGACAGAACAATAAAACGTCATTTACAAGAATTGTCCTAAAAAATTGACTCAATTCCACATTTGCAAAAACACCAACGCGTTTAAAAATATGCCTATTAATCTTACATCAAGCAATGACTATGTTGATCCTAGGATTGAACCAGTGAATGAAGACGATCCCAATGGTCAAAGTCTTAATGTATATGTGGGGGGAGGATCCCTCATTCACTTCGGTGTGGTCCTGACAGCAGCTCATTACGTAGCCGTCTCCAAGGCCCTGAGAGTCAGAGCAGGAGAATGGGATACTCAAACAACGAAGGAGATATATCCATATCAAGACAGGGACGTGTCTTCTGTGGCAGTTCATAAAGACTTTAATAAAGGTGAGTGTTTATTGTGTGATTTAGAACGTTGGGTTTTATGAATTGCTTTCACGTCGATTTTGTTAATGGCCTAAATGATGAACCTACGAACATATAAAATGGAAGATCATTCATTGGTCAGCATTTTGTATTTTTTATAGTGCTACCATAATAATAATATAATACTATAATCTATACAGATAAATAAAATTGAAGTGTCTGTTTGTAATGTCTAAATAACAGCTTTTTACTAAATACATATGGATGTATTCACGATACATATACCAAAACAACATTTTTTACAATTTTTTTCTGTCTGTCTGTCTGTTTGTTTCGGATAATCTCTGAAATGGCTGGACCGATTTTGACGGGACTTTCACTGGCAGATAGCTGATGTAATAAGGAGTAACTTAGGCTACTTTTGTTTTAGAAAAAAAATAGGGTCCCACGAAATAAAAATTATAATATCCGATTCAAATAGGGAAGTTGTATACATACCCTAGGGACGAACCCGAGCGAAGCGAGGATGAGTCGCTAGTATAATAATAACATAATATTAATAATGATGATGATGTTCTCCTAGCCGATTTCGGCTACGGCGGCCAATCTCATTGAGACTAGCCAACTGCGCAGGAGATATTATAGTGCTCAAGTGTACGCGCAGACACAAGTGCACTCTCTATTCCTATCACTCTCATACTCCGGTGGGACGACCACTCGACACGACCGGTGAGAGTTAAGGCGCAGGACCGACGGCTTTACGTGCTCTCCGAGGCACGGGGGTGAAACACACCCAACTCCGGGCTGTTACTGAGACTTACTATACAGAAAGACTCAATAACTAAACTTGGCCCGACCCGGGACTCGAACCCAGGACCTCCGGGTGTGCAGCCGTACATGCAGGGCCGTGCCTGGGTATATGGCCGCCTGCGTGCCAGTCTGTATGGCCGCCCCCAGGATAACATTAAAAAAAACTACTTTAATTTTTAATGTTTATTATTATACACAGGGCATCAAACCGGGAAAAAAATCAGTTTTTGGTTAACCGAAATCGAGAACGAAAAAAAATATTAGTTTTGTTCCCAAAACCAAAAATTTTGTGATAAATAACAATAAATGTAATAAAATAATGTATTTACAAGTAAAAAGAAATAGTGCTGCTTCCGCCGTTATAGTTTTTACACCATTTAACAGAACATTTAGTCATTTTTGGGAGATGTTTTGTTGACAAGTAAGTGCTTGAGACTGACACAAAAAACAAACGACCTAGGCTAAAATTCCCTGGTTACAGACATGACCGTTAAAGGTACGTCCGCTTATATGTCTGGTCCAGTGGTTAATTCGTTCATGGACTAGGTATATAAATACTACAACGACCTAATCAGTTTTTATACATTTCTTATTTCTGAGAAACTCTTTTTAGATAGATTAGATTAGAGAAACTGTTTTTACTTCGTATCTTAATGAAAACAAACCGATTGTATTTTTGCCCAGTAAACAACTTGTAACGATTTGGCCGCCTCTTAATTTCGGCCGCCTGCGTGCGGTGCACGCAATGAACGCCCGTCAGGCACGGCCCTGCGTACATGCTAGCCACTACACCACCGAGGCAGTTAATATTAATAATACTAAATATAATATTTATTATTTCCTTGTTTAAACTTTTTGTAATATGTAGTTCTAAGATTAATAATTATGTGTTCCAGGCAATCTTTTCTATGACATTGCTTTACTCTTCCTTGAAAAACCCATGGAGATGGCGCCCAACGTAGGAGTAGTGTGCCTCCCACCCCCAGGGGTAAGAGTACCTGGTGGTACCCAATGTCTTGCTTCTGGTTGGGGAAAAGACAAATTTGGAAAAGAAGGTCGTTATCAGGTCATTTTGAAAAAGGTAAGTGTTCCAAGTTTTAAGTAATTCAATAGTTCCTAAAATTATCCTTTCAAAACTGACATATGGTTTTCTCACAACACAACAAAAGTAGCCTTCACACTAACCGTTTTCGGAAATTTATATTTTGGAAAAAATTAAATAATACCAACTTTTCCTTCTCCAGGTTCAAGTACCAGTAGTTGAACGTCGCCAATGTCAAAACCTGTTACGCAAAACTCGGTTAGGTAATTTCTTCGAGCTGCACACATCCTTTATGTGTGCTGGTGGTGAGAATGGAGTGGACACATGCAAAGGTGACGGGGGTTCACCACTTGTGTGCCCAATTGAGGTATGTATTACCAGAGATTATTTTGATTGTTGCTTTTTGCCGCATAATCGTACGAATAAAAAAAATATTCGCTTGTCTATGAACTATAACGTAAGTAAAGACGTAAAAAGTTTCATTGTTATTATTAGTAATCAGTCTTGAGATTCTGGCAAACGAAGGCGTATGTTTTGATTTGTGACCATTTTAGATTATGTTAAAGTGATATTTATATTTTTTTCAACTTTGAGAGATTTTTTTTGTAGAAGTAGCATTATTATAACAATTTCAAAAAAATATACTTATTTATGATGATGATGGTTGATTCCTCATACAAACTTTCATCCCCATTTTCGCCCCTTAACGGATGATTTCCGGAATAAAAATCTCCTATGTCCTTCCCAGGATCTCGAAGTATATTCTTACCAAATTTCATCTAAATCGGTCCAGTAGTTTTTGAGTTTATTCGTTACAAACAGACAAAAAATCAGATCTTTCCTCTTTATAATATTAGTGTAAATTATACCTACTATAGGATTTATTCAATATTCATGTCTTTTTTTCAGTTCGAAAGGGGCCGCTTCATGCAAAGCGGCATAGTAGCTTGGGGTATTGGATGTGGAGAAAATGGTGTTCCAGGAGTCTATGTAGACGTCTCCAATTTAAGAAACTGGATAGATGATAAAATTAAAGGAAAAGGTCTCGACACTAAAGTATACAGTTTTTAAAAACCATTAAAGTGTCCATACGATTCGATACTATAGTTATGCCAAAATGTTAGTCTGAAGCTCTGAAAGTAGACATTGATCATCATATAATAAAGCTACTTAAACCATTTTTAAATGAAATCAAATGAAATTATACCTTATTCAAATAGATTTTATAAGCAATTTTAAACCGTCACCTTTTACATTGAGGAAACTACCACCGGCTCGGAAGGCAGTTCTGCTGAGAAGAGCCTCAAGAGGCGAGAAACTCAACAGTTGCTAAAATAATATTTGTTGACAATATTGTAATACAATAATTATCTACTTATCGTAAAAGTGATTACGAACGAAAATTATTATAGAATATATAATATATTATTATAGATAATTATAAACTAAAAATTTAAAAAACCCCTTATGCAAATTAGTTTTCATTTAACGATTACACTGGCACGCGTGAAGCACTTAATCGAGTAATCATACTCCAAAATCCCTTACGTCATTTTGGAAAAGAGCTGATACTCTTACACTGCTGGACCAATATTAACCAAACATAGATAATAACCACCGCAAGGAAACTGGCTTTCAAATGAATAAAACCGCATCGAAATCGGTCCATCCGTTTGAGAGCTACGATGCCACACACAGACAGACAGACATCGACGTCAAACTTATAACACCCCTCTTTTTGCGTCGGGGGTTAAAAATGAAAAGTCACTAGGGAACTAATGTCGAGAAAATATTTGCATTATATCATACAAACGCTACTAACATATATTTTGGCATAATTGTGTGTAAAATTATCGTATGTACATTTATAAGTACGTGATCAATGTGCTTGTAACGAATATGGGTTATCGATATTTTTATTCGATATTTAATCGAATAAATAAATAAAAAATAATAATACTCTTTTTATACTCCACTTTTTGAAAAATATATTTTTTATCGACAGAATTTGTGTCATATTCGTTACCAGTATGAATATTAATAAAAACAGTCATTTAGAATATAGGTTTTTTTTATATATTTAATTTTCAATGATGTTAAGTAAATTTCCTTTGTCTTTATTTTTTTTTTAATTTAAAATAAAAATTAAATGAAACCAATAAACGTCACAACACAATAACAGAATTATTGTCAACTCATTTTAAAATAAAAATTGAAATTATGTACAATTTTTAATGTAAAATATAGAATTTTTCACAAATTAACAGATTTTTATTTTATTTCCTGAAAATGATTTATAAAAGTTAAAAATTATTTTTTTCACAGCATCGTTTATTATATTTATGTTAGAACTAGGTTGATTCCCCATACAAACTTTCATCCCCATTTTCACCCCCTTAAGGGAAGATTTCCGGGATAAAAAGTATCCTATGTCCTTTCCAGGGTCTCAAACTATTTTCTTATCCAATATCATCTAAATCGGTTCAGTAGATCCAGAGATTACCCCCTACAACCTCACAAACTCACAAACTATACCTCTTTACAATTTTAGTATATATAACTATCTACCTGCCTATTACCTTTTCATCCTGAAACCACTGAACAGATTTCGATAAAATTTAGCTAAGACATAGATTGCATCATGAGTTAGTACCAGTGATGTACTGCAGTCATTAGTTCCAAAAACAACCACCAGGGATCTAATCACCAATAACCTAATATGCTAAACTCTAGCGCAATTGTTAAATAAAAGTCATTATTTTTATCAAAAGGAACTTTTAACAGGCAATTATATGAAATAAATTGTTTTTTTTTTTTTAAGTATCAGTAATGGATTTGTTTCATTCGTTTTAAAGATGCTTCCAGTTGTAGCGGTGAGTTTTGTTTTGTATTTTTTATATCTGTTACGAGTTGTTAACTGCCTCGGTGGTGTAGTGGCTAGCATGTACGTCTGCACACCGGAGGTCCTGGGTTCGAGTCCCGGGTCGGGCCAAATTTAGTTATTGAGTCTTTCTGTATAGTAAGTCTCAGTAGCAGCCCGGAGTCGGAAAGTTGGCGGTGTTTCACCCCCGTGCCTCAGAGAGCACGTAAAACAGGCGGGCCTGCGCCTTAACTCTTACCGGTCGTGTCGAGCAGTCGTCCCACCGGAGTATGAGAGTGACAGGAATAGAGAGTGCACGTTGTGTCTGCGCGTACACTTGTGCACTATAATATCTCCTGCGCAGTTGGCTAGTCTCAATGAGATTGGCCGCCGTGGCCGGAATCGGCTAGGAGAACATCAACATCAGCATTTGTTACGAGTATACCAGCGACTTAGGACGTTAGATGTTTTGGGAAATGTACGCATAGCAACTGTAAAAAAGCCAGTATTACCCACTAAAACCCAACAGAACCTCCCAAAAATTTTACTCTCATATTTTTTTCCAAACGTGCCAAAAAAAATATAACTCACTACATAGTATAAAACAAAGTCGCTTTCTCTGTTCCTATATCCCTATGTATGCTTAAATCTTTAAAACTACGCATCGGATTTTGATGCGGGTTTTTTTAATAGATAGAGTGATTCAAGAGGAAGGTTTTAGTATATAATTTATTAAGTATTTGTATACATTGGCTAAAATATAATAAATATTTGTTGGAGATGTCGGAAAAAATAAGACGTCTGGGAGCTTTCAACGAAAACGCTGCCTAAACCCTTTGAGATATAACAAAATAATGTATGGTGGAATCGTGTATCTTATATAAGTCTACAGAAAAGTCCGCGATGGCATATGTCTATCTCTTAAGGATAACATACTATATCCATTTTAATTTAAAACGTACCTAGGGACGAATGAGTCGCTAGTTTAAAATAAACCTTAATTATCCTGATTTCTTTCTCTGGTATACTTTCCTAAAGTTTCACTTCTACCCACGCACTTTTTTTTCGGTTTAGAACCTTTGCAGACGTACGCATAAAAACGAACCAAATTTTCATCACAACAGATATAAAATGACTTAGAAAAAGTACAAACATTGAAATAAACATTTTTTTATTTATGTACAAATATATATTTTTTTAATTTAATATTGTAGACTATACTGTTCCTGATACTGGAGTCGGCAGCTACTTTCGATTTTAACTATCCGAATGTGAGTATATCTTAATAATGGGTCAAGAGCGAGTCTGACTCGTGAATGTCATTTTATCAAGTTTATATTAAAAGCAAAATAAGACGACACGTTTGGCTCAGTTTGTAGTGACCCTACTGGCCATGCCAGCGGTCGCGGGTTCGAGTCCCGCTGGGGGGATTCATTTGTGTGATAAGCACGAATGTTTGTACTCCAGTCATGGATGTTAATATTTATAATATGTATGTATTTAAAGTTGTTATCATGTGTTGTGTATCATCATATATGTGTTGTGTATCAACTCTCTGGTATCCATAACACAAGCCTCGTTGCTTACCATGGAACTGGATGGTGCTATGTGTTAATGTCTTAATAAAATATTTATTAATATACTTACGCGTTTATAAAACCACAATAAACTAACGAAATGTGTAACTGAAAATATTCCATATCTCAAGAAATAGTCAACGCATTTATTTTGTGGGCATCATGGAGTTTCACTAAGAACTGTTTAGTTTAATTAACTATCAATAGATGGCGCTGTATTTTGTTAATTATTATTACTGTTTGTGTAAAATTATAAAAAAAAAACAAGAATGGTATAGTCTGGTTTTGAAAAATACATGAACTAAAGGAAAATAAAGTTCTCAATTATAAACTTCCGTAACTTTACTGATTATAAAAAAATCGGATGTTTGAACTGTGTATTCGCGTATCGTTTGTGGATCAACGCCATCTATCGTCTTTATTAGAAAACAAAATGGCCCGAATTGAAGCTTTCCAATTATTTTGTATGGAATGAGCATTCGTTCAATTACATTTACCTATGGATAAGTATATAATCTGTGGAAGTGCTAAACTTTAAGCCCAGACAGTGCATTATATGAAGACACAAACAAAATAACTTCAACAATATTTACTGGAATCGCTCGTAATAACGAGTTTTGCATCCCGTTTTTTCTTCATTTTTAGATAAAAGATGACGTTTACGAACAACCAGTAACTCTTATGAAGCCACAGAAGAATCCTCATGCAAAAGTGAGTTTTATATTTATTAACCGATTTCAAAAAAGTCTTGGTATTTTTTATGTTGTATTCGGTTCTTTTTAAAGCCCCACTGCTAGGCACGGGCTTGTATCAAAGCGAGGGGAATTCGATCATAGTCCACAACGCTGGCCAAGTGCGAGCAGACTTCACATGTAGATCAAAAAACATTTAGATTTTCTCAAACGTGGTTTCCTCTGTAATTTTAATATATTTTCTATATTGTAAATAAATTGTAAAAAAAAACTACAGGTTTGGCTCAGTTTGTAGTGATCCTACTTGCTGTGCTAGCGGTCGTGGGTTCGAGTCCCGCTGGTGGCATTCATTTGTGTAATGAGCACGAATGTTAGTGCTCCAGTCATGGGTGTTTATATTTATAATATGTATATATTTAAAGTTATATATGTGTAGTGTATCAACTATCTGGTATCCATAACACAGGCCTCGTGGCTTACCATGGAACTAGATGGTGCTGTGTGTTAATGTACCAACATATTATTTTATTATTTATTTAAAAGTAATAAATACATTTTGCAGAATGAAAATGATGCAACTCCAACTGAAGATCCGTGGTCACCATTCGACTTCTCTAAATTCGACGCATATATTTCTGGTGCTATGGATCCTGAAAACAATCGTGTGAAACGACGAGCTAAGGTATGATTTTTGCAAATATATATTATTTTTTTAACTGCCTCGTTGGTCTAACTAGCATGTTGATCGTGAGGTCTTGGATTCGAATCCTGGGTCGGTATAATAGTTACTTGGAATTTCTGTCACAAATTGTTCAGTAGGGATATGGGGTGTGCCAAGGCCGAGTATGTTAAGCTGTCGGTCCAGGCCTTTCTCCCTCACCGGTCGTGTCGAGTTATCGTTCTACTGGAATATCAGAGTAAATCAAATAGAGATTACACTTGTGTCTCCGCACCGATCTTGTACACCATAATTGTCCGGCATAATTGACTAAGTAGACTCAGTTTCTTTAGAAGTCTGTTCAAAAATAGATAAGGCAGACACAACCTTTTATCAACGTGCTTTTACGAATACTAGTTTCCGCTTCCGGATTTACTCGCGTGATACCGATGGTAAAAAGTTTATGATAATTAGAGGAGTTGTTGCATTTTTTAATAGAATATTAATGATCGAATTCTACATAATCTTTTACATGTAAAGAAATATACGTGACTTCTTTTTGAAATTCCCACTAATATAAAAAATCCGAGCATGTGTTTGTTTAGAAGTAGTAGATATTCTGGCATTTATGTTCCGTGATGTGTGAAGTGAATTGTAGTATCTCAGTAGAAGCCAGATTTCCGACCATTCGTATTATTATTTTTTTAATTAGAGCATATTAGGCATATTTTTTATTATATTTATATAATTAATATGATATATCTGCGTCTTTAAGTGACATTTTTGGGAAATGCTTTGTGAAATAAATACTTAAAATTTTATGAAAATTTTTAATGAATTGGAAAAGAATATAACTGCTCAAACTTCAGTCATTAATATGTTTCGAGGTTTCTGATTATTTTAAGATATTTGAAAAATATAAAGATCATATCACTATTGCGAAGGAAAAATACTTACTGTATTTAGAAACAATAATAAATGATACACAAGTGTGGATGCATTATTATTAAAAATATTTTTAAATGAAGTTTCTTATTACCCAATTATCTATAAAAAGTGATAATTAAAAATAATTAATCCCAATAATCCAATCGCTAAAACATACCAAAAATCCTAAAATAATCACCGGAATTAACAAATGCTATGAGGCTCCTCACAAGAAATATTTTTCACAGAACTCCCGCCGATTCAATTCTCTGAATGGTCCGAAACTTCGAGAACGTCCAAACCACTATTTATACCCGGAACCTGTGAAAGACCGCATTTTGGAGTTCACCACTACCACCAAGAAACCTGGGATTTTACCAGAAACTATGAATCCTGGAGTTATATTCAGAGTAAGAATGTCTGATGCGATTTTGAGGATCAAACAAAGAATGTATGAAGATCCAGAAAGGCATATTGAGGCAGATATAATATATACCAATCTGATCAAAAAAGTGGTTATGGATGAGATAACTAAGTTTCACAATCTTCTTCTAATGTACAAGACCGATAAAAGCATTAAGGAGCATTTAGGAGAGTGTGGTGGAAGGATATACAAATTTATTAGTTACATGACCATTAAAGTTCATATTTACTGCTTATTTGATGCTCTCTGGATTGATGGAAACCCATATGTGATTGGGGATGAGTATTCTGTCACACCTGTAGAAGTACCTCCAATGCTCCAGTGTGATGCTGCTGAGTGTAACTCGGTTATGTTTGTGGATTCAATCACTGAACCTAAGGATGTTGAGGAGAAATAAATAAATTGATTTGACAATCATTGCTTTTTTTTCTAAAATATGTATTCAGCCGTCTTTAACGTCTACCGAAACCTACCTTTTTAGTTCTTTTTTTGTAATTTTAGCTCGAGCGAAGCCGCGGGTTCTGCTAGTGCTTAAATAAATTGTTGTTTACTTATTAAAACTAGGTGCCGATTTGATAAATAAATAACTGCGACGTTTTTGTGTTCATATAAAAAAAACAATCCTATCGAAAAGACAAAAATATCGAATTTCTAAATATTAAGTTTCGAATATAAATCAGATCGAATGGACTTAAATTACAAATCTTTATAGCTCTGTTAAAGTTATCTTATTTTATTATGACGCAGAAATTTTTCCTAAAAAAATCTTTTTTTTTTCTCCACTATTACTACTTTTCTTTTTTAACACATGAAAACTCTTTACTGGGTTGTATAGGTACTGCTAGTAATTACAACAAGACCTATGGGAAAACCTTAATAAAAATCTAGACATGACAAGGTATATAGGTTCTAACGACACGTTTGGCTCAGTTTGTAGTGACCTCTTTGCTGTGCCAGCGGTCGTGGATTCAAGTCCCGCTGGGGGCATTCATTTGTGTGACGAGCACGAATGTTTGTACTCTAGTCATGGATGTTTATATTTATAATATGTATGTATTTAATTAATGTTATATATGTGTAGTGTACTATAATATGGTATCTGGTATCCATAACAAAAGCCTCGTAGATTACCATAGAATTAGATTGTGCTGTGTATTAATGTCCCAACATATGTATTTATTATTTATCATTATTACTAGCAAAACCCACGGCTTCACTCGTATTAAAACTACAAAAAAATCTCTAAAAAGCTAGTTTCATACAAACTTTCATCCCCTATTTTACCCCCTTATAGGATAAATTTTGAAAAATTCTAAGACACAACACACTTGGTATATATACCAAGTTTAGAGCAATTCTCACAATAAATATTTTTTTGTATTATAATGTGTTTTCTCGTGGGAATTAAGTAATTTCCCGCGGTAAAAAGTAGCCCATGTCACTTTCCAGATCTCCAACTATCTTCACACAAAAAATCACGCCAATCCGTCACTCTATTTCGACGTGAAAGAAAGACAAACAAGAAAACAAACAAACACACTTTCACATTTATAATATTAGTATGGATATGAATTATTATTATTTACTAGTACAACTAGCACCAAAGACACATTTAGGATATCTTGGAAAGGAAACTCGACATAGTTGTAATCTATCAGGCCTTTGGGCTTTGGGGGACCAAGCGTAGTAACCATCCATGAAATTTTAACTGGTATGATGTTCTCCTGACCGATTCCGGCCACGGCGGCCAATCTCATTGATACTAGCCAACTGCGCAGGAGATATTATAGTGCACAAGTGTACGCGTAGACATAACGTGCACTCTCTATTCCTGTCACTCTCATACTCCGGTGGAACGACTGCTCGACACGACCAGTGAGAGTTAAGGCGTAGGACCGACGGCTTTACGTGCTCTCCGAGGCACTGGGGTGAAATACCACCAACTTGCCAACTCCGGGCTATTACTGAGGCTTACTATACAAAAAGACTCAATAACTAAACTTTGCCCGACCCGGGACTCGGACCCAGGACCTCCGGGTGTGCAACCGTACATGCTAGCCACTACACCATCCAGGCAGTTATACGTCAACACTACAAGATCAATAAAACTAATATATTTTGTCTATATTTATAATTTTTGTTGAGAAAAATACTATGTTTTCGCTTGTTGGGATATTTAAAAATACATTTTATTATGTTTAGCTTAATTTTTGATTATCTACACTACTATTATAAAGAGGAAAGATTTGTATATTTGTATGTTTGTAATGAATAAACTCAAAAACTACTGGACCGATTTAGATGAAATTTGGTAAGAAAATAGTTTGAAACCCCGGGAAGGAAATAGGATATTTTTTATTCCGGAAATCATTCCTTAGAAGGGAGTGAAAATGGGGATGAAAGTATGTATGGGGAATCAACCTAGGGACGAACCCGAGCGAAGCGACAGTAAGTTATTCATAAAAATATCGTGAAAGTTCTTCATTTGCTAGTAAACAATAATTATTTTTTTAGCGTCGTCGAGGCCATGGCGGGAGACGACGCAGCAAAACTCGCACAACCATATCTTCAGAGTATCAGGTACTGATAGTTGCAAGGTTTGTAAGATGCCTAACTGGTGTTACTAGGAATTATTTATCCTGTATAAGCAAACATATACAAATATTAGTTATCTATACATATGATAAAAATCTGAGTCGAATCTGTACTTAGATTAAATATTTTTTGGAAAATCTTTTTGAAATAGTCATTATTATCGATACAGAGGCCGAATCTATTGTTTTTAGAATTTTTGTCTGTCTGTCTTTCTGGGAACGCATTACGAGAAAACTACTTTCCCGCTAAGAAAAGACATTTTCCCGCGGTAAAAAGTATCCTATATATTGACCCGGATAACCAGCTACCACTATACAAAATTTCATCAAAATCTTTCCAGTGGTTTTTCTGTGATGCGGTAACAGACAGCCAGACAGACAGACAGATAGACAAAAATTCTAAAAACTATAGATTCGGCCTCTGTATCGATTATAATATTTATTTCGATAAGATTTTCCAAAAAATATCTAATGTACAGATTCGGCTTAGTTACAATTTTATTATATGTATAGATTAACAAGCGACTTACCCTCGCTTAGTTCGGATGCGTCCCTAAACTCTATGCTTTTAATTTTCGCGCTGCAACTAGCCTATAATATGAAGTTTTTATCCCGGAAATCATCCCTTAAGGGGGTGGAAATGGGGATGAAAGTTTGTATTTGGAAGCAAGCTACGGACGAACCCGAGCGCGAGGGCTAGTCTCTTGTCAATAAATATAAAGCCATAACACAATGTTTTTGAGATAGTTTTAAAGCTTCGTATGTCGCTTTTAGAACTCGTCTTCAACAGAAGTGCCTATAGCGCGACGCGCTGATCTCTCACAATCTCAACAAGGAAAAAAGAAGAAACAAAAAAAGAAGGACAAGAACAAAGATATGTATGATCCGCCTTTAAAGGTAATCAGTAATAACTTACTTAATTCAATATTTATAATTAACCAGTTACTCTCCAGGTTTGTTCGGGTTCGTCCCTAGCGAAAAACAGGAACAAATTCATCCCACGGGAACAGCACAATTTTCCGGAATGCAAAATGTATGTGCTATTCCAGACTATAATCTATCTCTGTGCCAAATTTCATCCAGATCCGTTCAGCCGTTCTGGCGTGATTGAGTAACAAACATCCAAACATCCATCTACACTTTTACATATTTACGGGATTAAGATTTGGTTCGCTGTACTATAATTGTTATTTCTGACGTTTCAAATGCTTACCAACTAATATGGTCACGGGAGAGACTTATGTTTGTTTTATTTTTAACCGACTTCCAAAAAGGAGGAGGTTCTCAATTCGTTGGAATCTTTTTTTTATGTTTGTTCACCGATTATTCGAAGACGCCTGAACCGATATGGATTATTTTTTGTTTCAAAGGGTATACTTCCCAGGTGATCCCATTTAAATTTTAACGGAATCAGACGAGCGGTTTTTTAAAAACTCAATAATAAATATATTTTTCGACGGCATCGACTTCGAAAATATCTGATTAGGTATTTATTCTAAATGAAAACCACCGTTTAGTTATTTTTTTATATTTTAGTGCCTGGAAGTCGGTTTTTTTAAGTTTTTATTAAATGATAATATGAAATCTACAATTTATTTTTACTTAATTTATTACCAGGAGTACGAGCCATCTTTTGTGGAAATGCCTAAAGATCTATATCAGGCACATTTGCGTCCTGGAGTTATTTTTCGCATACATATGTCTGAAGCTATCCTCAAAATGCAATATCGGAAGTAAGAAATTATATATTCAACAACATCTAATATATAAATATCTCGTGTCACGATGTTTGTGGCATTTTAATATAAGCATCTATTTCATATTAGTAACTAACCCTGGCTTTGCTCGGGTGTGACTTTTTTATTAAGGGTGGAGCGAAAAAAAAATTTTTTTTCTAAGCTTGGGGGTAAAAAAATATTGCCTTGTTGCATTTTTTTTTAAATGTTATTATTTGTACATGTTATTTTTTTATATTACAGTCAGAGTTAAATAGAAAATGACTATAATCATCAATTCTTGAAAGTTTTCAAAGATGGTCACGCAAAAAAAAACATATAAACCAAAAATTTAAAGTAGTTATGTATATATGTATTTTAAAAATCAGTAGGCCACCTCAAAATGTCATAAAATTTTTTTTTTCAAATTTTTTTTTTTTATAAGCTACAAATTCAACCGCCAAGATACGAAAAAAAATTTTTTTCTCACCACTATTTTTTTTTATATTACAGCGCCCTAATATTAACATTATATAGGCAGCGCCATCTTTTGATAATTTTTATAACTAAGAGTAGCCTTTATATTACTCCAAGTCATGGACTAATTGTTTATAAAATTTTATCAAAAGCGGTTAGATCACGTACTGTACGGATTTTTACAGCGTGTTACAGGAAATTCCAACTAAATATAATTATGACATGACTCTCTCCTAGCTTCTGCCCACGTGAATTGTTCTCTTACGTTTGTGGAAAGCGCCATCTTTTGTTTTTTTATTAACATTAACAACAGCACCATCCAGTTCCACGGTAAGCTGCGAGGCTTGTGTTATGGATACCGGATAGTTGGTACACTACACATATATCACTTTAAATACATACATATTATAAATATAAACACTCATGGTTGGAGCACAAACATTCGTGCTCGTTATACAAATGAATGCTCCAGCTGGACTTGATCCCACGACCGCTAGCACAGCAAGTAGGGTCAATACAACTGAGCTAAACGTGTCCAAATAAATATAATTTTTAACTTCAGTTACGGAGAAGACAAAGACGAGTCGGTGATAGAGGCGGACGTCGAATATTTGCGGTTAACACGAAAAGTGATCAATGATGAGATCACCAAGTTTGAAGATTTGAGATGGCTTGTTGGATGGTTCAGCAACCGTTCGGAGCTTATACAGGAACATATGTGCAACACTAGATATTATGCTGTTGGTAAGATTTAAATACTTAGGTATCCTAGGTATTCTGACCGATTTTGGTCACTCTCACTGAGACTAGCCTTAGGAGATATTATAGTGTACACTATATTATAGTGTACATTATAATAAAATATAGTGTACACTTGTACACTATAATATCTACTCAGAATATAGTGCAAGTGAAGAAGCACTCTCTATTCCTGTCACTCTCATACTTTGGTGGGATGACAATTCGAGACGGTAAGTGAGAGATGAAACAGGTCTAACACCGTCAACTGCCCTAATCTGGCCAGTTGCTCAGAATTTCTTGACTCAATTACTATACTTGGGCTAACCCGGGACTCGAACCCATTACCACCGGATTTGCAGCCGAATATACTAGCCAGTAGATTATGAGGAAGTGTTTAATTACTTTTAACTAAAATTAAAATTGACTCGATCAAAATGTATATTATCATTTTTTACTGAGTTGGGTTTTTCATACTTTTTCTAAGTTACAAACTCGATAAGATCATAATAGCGTTCCTTATCTCTCAATTTTAAAACATCGTGACCCCTTTAAAAGACTTGGTATTTCCCGAGATAATACTGTTTTATGTTGAGTTTATTATATATTTCGTGGAATAGTTTTAATAGGTCATTGACTCGCTAAGAAAAATATATAAATTACTAGTAGAACCCGCGGCTTCTCTCGCGCTCAAATTACAAAAAACACTCTAGAAAGGTGGGTTTCATACAAACATTCATCCTCCATTTTATCCTTTATTTTCGAAATTCATACCATAAGGGGGCCTTATGAATCTCGAAAAATGCTAAAACACCTAATTATTTAATTGTATTGAAGAACATTAATATTAAGTTTCGAGTAATTCTGATCATAAATATTTTTTTGGGTTGTAATATAACGTGTTTTCCCGTGGGCATGAGATAATCTTCCGCGGTAAAAAGTAGCCTGTGTTACTTTCCAGCCCTCTAACTATCTCCATAAAAAATCACGCTAGTCCTTCACTCCGTTTCGACGTGAAAGAAGGACAAACAAACAAACAAACAAACAAACATACTTTCACTTTTATAATATTAGTGTAGATATTATGGTTTTTTTAATATATATGTGATATATCAAAATACTATTAAAATGCTAAAGTCTGTGTGTTTCAAAAAAGTACTAGATACACAATCAGCGACAAAAAATGTCTTCACCGAATGAGCGCTCATTTGAACATTTGAGCGCACTTTTAATTAAAAAAAAAATGAAATAATTTTTTAAGGTTTAATTTACATTGTTGTATATTTATTTTAACTAGAACAATTACCTAAGCACAATTGGTGACAGTTTTAAAAAAACTTTTGCATGGGATTGTGTATCTAGCACTTTTCTTATCGATGGTTTGTGTGTATCTTTAATACTCTTTAACGCTGAAACGGCTTAGGATTAAACAGATTAGAATTCTATAGACTATGGCCTGAAATAAAATAGGCTTCTTTTAGTAATAAAATTAGCCAAAAAGTGGCGATATCTGTTCATAATATTATAAAAAAAGCACCTACCGACTAAACTTTAGTAAGTCAAAAAGTTAAAGTTACTAAGTCAGTAAGTAAGCTTAAAGTTAGTAAGTCAGTAACTACAATACAAAGTTGAAAGTCGAGTAGAAACAGAAAATCTTATCAAAATTTGCCCAGCATTGGGATTAATCGTATCAATCCCACAGGTATCCCACCAACAATGTTCACTCATTCCGAAGAATACATGAAACGTATGTGTCTATTTGACAATGTCTACATCGACCACATTCCATATGTGGTGGGAGAAGATGGATCTCTAATGGCTGCTGTAGCTCCTCCGGTCCTTCATTGTGATGCTGCGACCTGTACATCTGTACCATTTATTGATAGGTAAGTAAGTCTAATTTCAAGGATAAATTGCAGATTAAGGAGGTCCTAACTTCAAAGTCTGGACTAGGCCAAGTTTTTGGTTCTACGTAAAAAGTCTTAGAAGTAGCTAATGACTGTATAAGGGCCTCTCAAAAAAAACAACATGCCTATGTTATTAAAGTAGAATAATTGGCAGAAGAACTGGTTATAGTGCAGTGCACACACGTTTGACGCTTCCCATGCCAATAATTAGCCTTGGTGGGAGTGACAATTTCAATGAAAAGTCACTGTGAGCATTTTTGTACTAACTAAACTAACACTAAGTATATATTCGCCCAGTGATTAAAATCATAAACAAAATATATTATTTGTTGGTATTAAACCCTCAAAGACGACACGTTTGGCTCAGTTTGTAGTGACCCTATTTGCTGAGCAAGCGGTCGTGGGATCGAGTCTCGTTAGGGGCATTCATTTGTGATGAGTACGAATGTTTGTACTTCACTCATAGGTGTTGTTAATCGACTTCCAAAAAGGAGGAGGTTCTCAATTCGTCGGAATCTTTTTTTTATGTTTGTTCACTCATTACTCAAAGACGCCTGAACCGATTTGGAATTTTTTTTAGCCAGCCGACAATATTTTCAGATATGAATATTTAATAGGTAAATATGTATTTTACGTATTGAAATATATTAGATTTGCTTTGCATCGGCTGGCACCGACTTCGAAAATATCAGATTAGGTAGGTACCTATTCTAAATGAAAACGCTCGTTTAGTTATTTTTTACATTTTAGTGTCTGGAAGTCGGATTTTATTAAAAGTTTTTTAATTTATTATATGTATGTATTTAAAGTTATATATGTGTAGTGTATCAACTCTCTGGTATCCATAACACCAGCCTCGTAGCGTACCATGGAACTAGATGGTGTTGTGTTAATGTCCAAAAAAAAAATTTTACCTACTATTCTCGATTATGCCATACAAAAAAAAACGCGAATCCAACTCACACTTGACCGATTTCTTTATTCTATTTCAGTATAATGTTCGACGAACGTCTATCTCGCACCAACGTGCGTACCGTGACACGATGCCAGGCGAGCTGTCGCGCTCACTGCCGCAACGATCCAGACTGTTTGAAACGTTGCTCTGATCGATGCTTGAGATCTGATTAATAAATGATACAATATATGGAAAAGCATTTTTATTTAATACTAATGGCTTACCCTTGCCTTGCTCGAGTGTGCCCCGTCTGTCTTTTGCATTTTTATTTTACTAGCGACTCACCCTGGCTTCACTCGGGTTCGTCCCTAGATTGATTCCCCATACAAACTTTCATCCCCATTTTCACCCCCTTAACGGATGATTTCCGAGATAAAAAGTATCCTGTGTCCTTCCCAGGATCAAACTATCTTCTTACAAAATTTCATCTAAATCGGTTACAACGTCACAAACTTACAAACTTTATTTACCTCTTTATATTTTATAATATTAGTATATAGAGTAGCGACTCAGCCTCGCTTCGCTCGGGTTCGTCCTTTATTACGTTTTAACGTATAGTATGGGTTAATCAGAATGAGATATTTTCCCGCAGTAAAAAGTATCCTATATGTTGACCCGGATAACCAGCTATCATCACAGCAAATTTCATCAACATCCCTCCAGTGGTTTTTCCGTGATGCGTTCACAGACAGACAGACAAACAGACCAAAATTCTAAAAACTATAGATTCGACCTCTGTATCGATATTTAATGTACAGATTCGGCTCAGTTAGAATTTTATTATATGTATTGATAGTCTATATTCCATACTAATCGTTAAAACATACCTACCTAGATACGAACCCGAGCGAAGCAAGGATGATTTGGCTAGTGTATTAATAAAAATATTTTAAGAATCGTTTATCTATACATATAATAAAATTGTAACTAAGCCGAATCTGTACATTAAATATTTTTTGGAAAATCTAATTGAAATAGACGTTATTATCGATACAGAGTCCGAATCTATAGTTTTTAGAATTTTTGTCTGTCTGTTTGTCTGTCTGTCTGTCTGTCTGTTACCGCATCACAGAAAAACCACTAGAGGGATTTTGATGAAATTTGGTATGATGATAGCTGGTTATCCGGGTCAACATATAGGATACTTTTTACCTCGGGAAAATGTCTAATTTCTGAGAAAAAATACAAAAACTGCAATTTAAGAGTATACTAATATGTAAAACCTAAGAATTTGGTTTTTGGTCATCTGAACGCGGGCGGAGCCGCGGGCAATGCTAGTTCCATTATAAAAAATATTAAATTATTGTAAAGGTACGAGCGACATCTGTTGTCACTTCTTGAAATTATCTTGGTACTTTATACTAGTACAGTCAAATTTTGTATGGCGTGTTCTATACGTAAAGTTATAAATAAACTAGATCTAGATGGCTCTGTAATGGGACCTAACTGTATGAAGGGTTCAGCAAAAACAGGAAATGTCCCAATTTTTGTTTTAGAAGTGAAACCTCTTTAGAATCGTTGTAATGTGACGCTCGATGAAACGGAAACGCGACATTAGAAAGAGACAAACACATAAATATATGGGATTAAGACGGCGAGAGAATGAGATAGAATACAATACACAGGAAATGAAAAATAATACTGAATAATATGTTATGGCGTAATATATCTATACATACTCGTACTAATTAATATTATAAAGAGGTAAAGTTTGTGAATTGTGAGTTTGTGACGTTGTAGGGGGTAATCTCTGGATCTACTGAACCAATTTAGATGAAATTTGGTAAGAATATAGTTTGAGACCCTGGGAAGGACATAGGATACTCATATTTTTTTCCAAACGTGAGAAAAGAAGTATGACATCAACAATGGATATTGAATAGTTTTCACAAAAAAAATTATTAATGGAGCGCTCAAAATTGTTCAAATGAGCGCTCATTCGGTGAGGAGATTTTTTGTCGCTGATTGTGTATCTAGTACTTTTTTGATCGATGTTTATAGATAAGTAAACTCTATTAATATATTACATTTTCTCAAATTTTCTAAAATGATCATAAAATTTAAATTTGTATTAAAAGTTGCAAATTTTAAATGTGTTTTTAAAGACACCAGTAACAGCGCTGTCTATCAAAAATATATGTCAACTTTATTGACAAAAGAGGTTTATGCTGATACCACACATTGGACGTGTATCCGATCTTCGTTGAACATAACGATAGCGCGTTTTAATTTCAATCAGCGCCTTCTAGTTTAATTCTCTGTTACTATTTTATGCATAATTGTATAGTGGGTTGGTTTGTCGGTGGCAAATTCTAAGGTTCGATCCCGGGTTAGGTATATTAGTTTTTTTTATTATGACTATAGTTCGCCCAATAGTCAAATTTCGACCATAATTATTATTGAAAACTAATAAGCCTTTTTGCGAAAACGGGCACTTTCAATTTTTTCTCTATCTTAAATGAATATTACAAGAAAGAGATTTTATTAATTTGACGTTGTAATTTAGCAAGTATTCTGAAATGAAAGCTTACGTTCCAAATTTAAATTTTTAGATTAACAAAAGAAAACTAATGATTACTGTAAATTTGCATTATTAATGGAGTAAAATTTTGAAAATTATGGTCTATTTTTAACCACTGGGCGAAAACTAGTCCTAATAAAAAAGTAATCACCTCTAATACACCCGGGATTCGAACCTTAGAATTTGCTACCGGCCAACCAACCCACTTTTATAATAGTAACACATAACTAAACTAGATGGCGCTGATTGAAATTGAAACGCGCTATCGTTACGTTCAACAAAAATCATATAAGATACCCAATGTATAAATATAATCTAACAATTTCTATACAAGGATATTTAATTTAACTGTCCTTTAAATATTTTTATCAGACAGCACTCTGTAACGATTGTGCGTCTGTAGACCATAGAGTAGTGTTGCCGAATTATCGATAGCTTTCATCTAAAAGAGTTCTACTATCCATGTTATCGATAGCTCGAAATGTCACAATGCTATTAACGAAAAGCAATGATATCGATAGTATTTCTACTAATAAATTATCGATAGTATCGATACTATCAAACTTCTAAAAAAACAACACTATCAATAGAATCGATACTATTGAATTTTGGACCATCGATAGTTGTAAATTTTTCGTTAGTATTAGGTACGTTTTAAATGCAATGTAATTAGACGAAAATCGGTATAAAAAAATTCGATCTGTGCCACCTGCGAACTGTGTACAATACCGCCTCCGTGGTTAGTTTCCGGGAAATCTATTTTGTTAACTGACATGTCGGCGTATCCGCGACCCTTCAGACAGACAGACTTCTAAAAACTATAGATTCGGCCTCTGTATCGATAATAATGTTTATTTCAAAAAGATTTTCCTAAAAATCCATCCGAATCCGTGCAGTATCAGCGTGAAGCGACAAACATACAAACTTTTATATTTAATAATATTTTTTTTTTATGTAGAGACATTAAAACACAACACCATCTAGTTCCACGGTAAGCTACGAGACTTGTGTTCGGGATACCAGATAGTTGATACACTACACATATATAACTTTGAATATACATACTATAAATAAATAAATATAATATAAACACCCATGACTGGAGCGGGACTCGAACCCGCGTACGTTGTAGCAACCACAACAGCAAGTAGGATCACTGTAAACTGAGCCAAACGCGTCGTCAATATGTACATATTGTACCTACGTAAAACCCGTTCATTATACCCCATTTGACCTACTTATAATTCGATCCCTCATTTTGCCCGAAGTTGTTGCAATGAACATGAAAATATTGTAAATTGTTATTCTAATTTTAACCGATTTTATAAAAAAGTAATGTTTTGAATTCATTTGAATATGTTATGTGTATAATGACTACCTCGGTGGTGTAGTGGCTAGCATGTACGGCTGCACACCCGGAGGTCTTGGGTTCGAGTCCCGATTCGGGCCAAGTTTAGTTATTGAGTCTTTCTGTATAGTACGCCTCAGTAATAGCCCGGAGTTGGGAAGTTGGCGGTGTTTCACCCCCGTGCCTCGGAGAGCACGTAAAGCCGTCGGCCCTGCGCCTTAACTCTCACTGGTCGTGTGGAACAGTCGTTCCACCAGAGTATGAGAGTGACAGGAATAGAGAGTGCACGTTGTGTCTGCGCGTACACTTGTGCACTATAATATCTCCTGCGCAGTTGGCTAGTCTCAATGAGATTGGCCGCCGTGGGCGGGATTGGTCAGGAGGACATCATCATGTGTATTGATTATAACATTTTATTAATCCCGACGCAAAAAGAGGGGTGTTTTAAGTTTGACGTGTCTTTATGTGTGTCTGTTTGTGATAACGTAGCTCCTTAAAGAATGGATCAATTTTGTTGCAGTTTTTTTGTTTAAAGGTTGATCAAAGAATTGGGTTTACTTTGAGCGTACATTTAAAGTATAATTTAAGGAACAAAAATAATTCTAAATATAGAATAAAATTGGAAGTGACTTTTTGATTTGATGGAAGTGATTTTCTTTAATTTTATAACAAAACTAGCGCTTAACTCGCTTCGCTCGGGTTCATCCCTATCTTGCTTCCCAGTACACACTTTCATCTTAATTTTCACTCCCTTAAGGGATGATTTCCGGGATTAAGTGTATCCTATGTCCTTCCCAAGGTCTCTAACTATCTTCTAACCAAATTTCATCTAAATCGATTCAGTAGATCCAGAGATTTACCCCCTACAACGTCACAAACTCACAAACTTTACCTCTTTTTAATATTAGTATAGAAAAATATATAACAGAAATATTATAATTGTTAAAATACCCAAATCTAAAATACAACCTTCTAGTAAATATAATAAATCATACCTTAGTTTGTAAAGAGAATATAGTGTATACATAAATTTTAAAATTAAAAAAAAAACGTAGTTAACATACTGTTCTGTAATAAAATTCATTATAGTATTAAATATTATTTTAGTTTTATTTTGTACAAGAGTACATAAACTTGTTAAAAAAACGTACTAGAAAGCACCAAAATATTTTTTTTTTTTGACAGGAACACAGTCCCCTGGATTTAACAAATAAATATATATATTTGTTAAATCCAGGGGACTGTGTTCCCGTAAAAAAAATTATATATATACACTATATATATATATATATATATATATA